TCTTTTCGGAAACCCAATTCTTAGAAACTCTAAAGTTAAGCGTACTTGGCCTGGAAAAATTCTAGGATGGGTGACCCCCTGGGAAGTTTTCCAGGGAGCACGTGAGTGAGGACAAAACGTGCTGAAAAGACATATGGTGGTTTGTGAGACCAGTCCATCAGATCTAATAGCGTACCGACTCCGGGATTCCGGGGCGGGGCGTAACAAATGGTATCAGAGCAAAGCCAACCGGAATTGTGAGAGCTAAGTGCTATGCGGCGCAAAGTGCTACGTCGAGAGGGCGGGCGCCACCTCTTGAGGCCGTAGGAGCCACCTCTAGAATCTCACACGGATGGTACGGTCTTGGATGATATGATTTAGCGCAACGAGGACGTTGCGAGTTGTAATACCCTAACCCTTGAGAGGGTGATGTGATTAGTATTGATAGATTTGATTGGAATACTCATACCACCAAGATGCATCTTCTTTTCGGAAACCCAATTCTTAGAAACTCCAAAGTTAAGCGTGCTTGGCCTGGAGAAATTGTAGGATGGGTGACCCCCTGGGAAGTTTTCCAGGGAGCACGTGAGTGAGGACAAAACGTGCTGAAAAGATATGTGGTGGTTTGTGAGGCCAGTCCATCAGATCTAATAGCGTACCGACTCTAGGATTCCGGGGCGGGGCCTTACAAATGGTATCAGAGCCAAACCAACCGGAATTGTGAGAGCTAAGTGCTATACGGCGCAAAGTGCTACGTCGAGAGGGCGGGATCCACCTCTTGAGGCCGTATGAGCCACCTCTAGAATCTCACACGGATGGTACGGTCTTGGATGATATGATTTGGCGCAACGAGGACGTTGCGAGTTTAAGTGGGGGAGTTTGTAATACCCCAACCCTTGAGAGGGTGATGTGATTAGTATTAATAGATTTGATTGGAATACTCATACCACCAAGATGTATCTTCTTTTCAGGAACCCAACTCTTAGAAACTCCAAAGTTAAGCGTGCTTGGCCTGGAGAAATTCTTGGATGGGTGACCCCTTGGGAAGTTTTCCAGGGAGCGCGTGAGTGAGGACAAAACGTACTGAAAAGACATGTGGTGGTTTGTGAGACCAGTCCATCAGATCTAATAGCGTACCGACTCCGGGATTCCGGGGTGGGGCGTAACATAAACCAAATCACAATAATAAATATGTAATTTCATATTTGTAAACATGAAAACCCAAAACCATGCATGTATATATATAACTATATATATACATAGAAACCAAATACGTGTGTGTATATGATATTGAGCTTAAGGTACTTAACACACATAATATAAAACCTAAATTAAATGTTACCAAAGCTTGATCTTGATCTTGATCTTCATTGTAGCTCAACTTGGTAAACTATGCGAATGAAGCTGAACTTGAATCTTTAACTATGAATTGCATAGGTTTCACTCCACAATTCCGCCAACCTCTATTTGATATCGTCGTTGAAGCGCTATTGCATCCATCCTCCAACTCGTTGTTTGCCTAGAATAAATACGAAAACACAAACACTAGACAAACAACATTAGAAGTAAATTGTTTGTTAAACATCATCAAAACAAGAAGGCCAACATTAGTTTCTGCATGTTTCCACATTTTGTGGGATTTGGGTTTTTGGTCATTTTGTTTGGGTTTTTACTAATGTTTTGGGTTCCTATAAATACCCAACTGCTCTCATCTTTCAGTTATAACTAAGAGAATGTTTTAGCAAAGTTTTAAAAAGGGTTTAAGTTTTGTTTAGTGTTTGTTTAAAAAGCTTTTAAGCATTTAAGAGTTTGTTTTGTGAAATTAATTTCACAAGAGCTTGAGGAAGATCATCCATCGGTGTTTGAGCATCCAACTCTTCTCTCTCTCTCTCTCTTGATCTATAGAGAAGTTTTTCTTAAACTCAATTCTAGCATTTTATATGTTTGGTCTTAATTTCATAAGCTAGATTTCATATTAAGTTTAAATTGTGTTTATTAAACCTCTTTGTTCACACACAACCTTTTGAGCTTATTGTATTTACATTCATAGTATAATTTAGGGTTGTGAGTTTGTGACTTAGAGAGTGAGCTTTCATTGAGTTCTCATCCATAGTAGAGAACAACCATTGTTGTAATTGTGCTTATTTGTGAGGTTCACCTTGTAATACACTAGTACACCAAGAGGAGTGTGTGGTGAGAGACGGGGTTTGAGGTAATTGCTAAAGTGAGTCACCTGATCATTTATTGCGGGAATGACAGCAGGTGCTTGGTGCTGACTAGGTCCGATGAGTCATAAAGGCTATGGGGACTAGAGCAATGATGATGTTGTCAGGTTAATTAATACGAGAGAAGTTGACTGGCGAGGGGTTTGAGGTAATTGTCGTCTTTCGACTCCTTAGTACGGGATCGAGAAGTACTGCCTTTTGACTCGGCTACGCAAGATGTTGGTTGAACAGTGAGCCGAGTCAGGTTGCTTGTAGAATCAATTGAGGGATTGGTGGAGAAGCATCACCTTTTGACTCAGTTACTCGAGATGTCGGTCAATCAAGTTAGTCATGCTGAGGCGGAGGTTATCATGGCCTTGAATTAGTTGGGTTAGGTATAGTGTAAGACACGTGTCACCTTCTATGTGGAGATTAATATTTAGTATTTTTAGGGGTTATAACACTACTGATATGTTTTATGGGATAATGAATTCTAGATATAAACAGGTATGAGCAAGATGCGGTTCAAAATGATGTAAAAATTAACATGAATATTGATTTCAGCCTTTGAACCATTGATGGTCAAGAGGTTACCATCAATGGTCAGCATCTCATCAATGGTTTCAGGAGGTAGTCAGAGAAAAATAGAAATCGAAATTGGAACTATCGATGGTCTACAACAACCTATAGATGATTATAGGGAACCATCAATGGTTATAGGAGATAATCAAAAAAAGTTTAGAAACCAAAATCAGCACCATCGATGGTTACAATTGAACCATCAATGATCAAGGGGCCATTAATAGTCGTGATCCACCATTGATGGTTATGATGGAATTTGGCAGTTTTTCAGGATTTAATCTCAGATATTTATCGATCCGTTTGATCTCCTATTTGCACTTAAATTTAGGTATCTCTTTCTTGTCCTATCAACTATTTAAGGAAAGTTGGAGGTTATACTTAACAACAAAGTTCAAGGAGGTAAATACACAAAAGGAGAGATCTTTATTCTAGGGTTTGAGAGAGAGTAGATTAACTCCCCCGAGCCTCATTTAGTTTCTTCTCGGCGCGCTTTTCATCAAGTTTGATTCAGCGAGAAGGAGTGATTTATGCTTATAACACTACACCGCTTCTTTACAAATCTTCATCTTCATCAATTGAAGAATGGTTTGCTAAAGGGCTATAAGATTATTTTTTGTGCTTAATTATTTTTGGGGTTGTATTTTAAACTTGTGAGTTTTATGGCGTACTCAAATCGGGGTAACTAAGGGTTGAGCTAGTCAGGGCTAGGTTTGACAGCATACTCAAGCTAGAGTAATTGAGGGT